AAAAAAATAACAAAAATTAGTCAGGCGTGGTAGTGCGCACGTGTAGTCCTAGCTATTCAGGTGGCTGAGGTGGGATCATCACTTGATCCTGGGAGGTTGAGGCTGCAGTGAGTTGTGATTATGCCCCTGCACTTCACCCTGCGCGACAGAGCAAGACTGTCTTAAAAAAAAAAAAAAAAAAAAGAAAGAAAAGAAAAGAAAAAAGAAATTTGAAAAATAAAATCATTTTTCATTTTTAATTAAATTGCAGATTCTGGGATATCCATATTCCATGTAGATATTATTTAATATCTGCCAATCTTTAAATATCAACTACTTTTGAGTGTTTGTAGTGAACCTTAGTGTTTCCATCAATATACACAATTCAAGTTCACCATCATTACTGACATTTGGTCTGATAATTGGCTACTGCTAATAGTGGCATATAGACTTAAATACAGGGTACTTTACATATGACACTTACCTTCTCTTTTAAATTTTAAAATTATTCTATTTAAAATAATCTGACATTATAAATTTCTATTAGTAAATTATAGGATGATCTGTTTTTCCTTTGTTGTGCTTTCTGTGGTCACAGAAAATGCTGTAGAACAAATAAAATTATTCTATATAAATTAGACTATAGGTTCAAAGATATTTCCTTCATAAAAGAAAAGAAAATGAATAAAATATATTCACATGGCCATGTGCCATGGCTCATGCCTGTAATCTCAGCTCTTTGGGAGGCTGAGGCAGAAGAATCACTTGAAATCTGGGAGGCAGAGGTTGCAGTGAGCAGAGATCACGCCACTGCACTCCAGCCTGGGTGACAGAGCAAGACTCCCTCTCAAAAAAAAAAAAAAAAAAAGAATATATAAATGGGACAAGATTGCATTCACACTTTAGTTCTACAGATGTCAAGCTGTTTTTTTGATGTTTTATTTAGTGATACAGTGACTGAAAGATCTTTATAGATGTGTTGAGTCCCAGGATGATTTGTTAGCATTTTCTGGGAATACCTGGAAATGACAAATTAGCATTAGACATTTAAAATCTTCTGATATCATTATTTTAGGTATGTATATTTTAATAGTATATTAAAGATTTTTTCATGGTAAATTTATGGATATATAAGTAGGTAATTTGGCTTATTTACAGTTTAAGGAAATGAAATTACTACAGTACTCTGTAGAGATAGCAAATAGTTACTTCTAAACTCTTGGTATTTCCCTTGTATTAAATAATGCTATCATAGTAATGTATATTTTAAGTTCTCTTTTATTCTTCAACCTACATTTATTTGCAAGCTTAACTTTAACTCAAAATACATATCAAATTTTTGGCTCTCCATAACTCAGTTTAATAAATTTGAACTTTACTACATGCTGGGCACTGTGATAGGTGGTGGGAGGATCTGAGATGATAAAGATACTGTCACTGCTTTCAAGGTGCTCACAGTTCATACCCTCCACTTTACTACCTCACCTGGCATTATTAATGCACTCAGATCTCTTTGCTAATCAGAATGTAACATTTTGATATGAAAGATTTTATACATCATCAGAGCCATGTCAGAATAAAAAAAATTTTTTTAAAGAAAGATTTTATACATCATTATAATTGTCAGAATATCAGTAATACCACTGTAAAGAGTTTTAGGCTGGATGTGGTGGCTCACGCTTGTAGTCCCAGCGCTTTAGGAGGCCAAAGCAGGAGGATTGCTTGAGCCCAAGAATTCGAGACCCAGCCTGGGCAACATGACAAAACCCTGTCTCTAAAAAAAGTAGCCAGGCATGGTGTTGTGCTCCTGTAGTCTCAGCTACTTGGGAAGCTGAGGCAGGAGGATTCTTGAGCCCAGGAGGTTGAGGTTGCAGTGAGCCACGATCATGCCACTACACTGTAGTTTGAGCAACAGAGCTTAAAAAAAAAAAAAAAAAAAAAAGAGTTCTATAGTTTTACAAAAATTATCTCTTTTGTCTTAAAATGAGTAGAATCTTTGCAATTTGGGGGCCAAACTGAGGTATACTTTAAAAAGTAATATCATTTTTCAATTAAAAGATGCTTACTTTCGGCCGGGCGCGGTGGCTCAAGCCTGTAATCCCAGCACTTTGGGAGGCCGAGGCGGGTGGATCACGAGGTCGAGAGATCGAGACCATCCTGGTCAACATGGTGAAACCCCGTCTCTATTAAAAATACAAAAAAATTAGCTGGGCATGGTGGCACGTGCCTGTAATCCCAGCTACTCAGGAGGCTGAGGCAGGAGGATTGCCTGAACCCGGAAGGCGGAAGTTGCGGTGAGCCGAGATCGCGCCATTGCACTCCAGCCTGGGTAACAAGAGCGAAACTCCATCTCAAAAAAAAAAAAAAAAAAAAAAAAAAAAAGATGCTTACTTTCTACTCTGACAGAGTTAATATTTTCAGTGTCAGAGTTGTGTGCTAATTAACTTTTTCTTTAATAAGTATACCCAGGAAATGGCAGGAAATGCAACAATCATGTGTTAGCTATCCAAGGAAAATGTATAGAATATTTAAATTTACATAGGATATGATATCACAGTTTGGCATACTTGTCCCAGAACACAAACTTATGTATGACTGTTAAATCATTTGGGTTTTATAATCATTACGGTTTTGATAAGGTTTGCAAGATGAAAATTTTACCTCAGAGAATAAGACAAAGTTACATTGTGCATATTAAATTCATAAATATCATATAACTTGCTTTTGGGTTCATGATTGCTTTTCACCTGTACTTTCCATCTGTCATGAACAGGGATCCCTGAGATGTTCATACTCTGCATTCTCATGTGCATGATCCTTAGATTTAAAAAGGGTGAGTGGGAGAAAGCTGCTTTATGGAAATATAAGTTCACAGCATTCATGTTTTTTGTGTTCCACTGCAAATATTGCATGCTGCATACTTGTATGCTGCATACTTGTATTTCTCTGAAAATGAAGAACAGGCTTACACACACAAAAAAATTTAGTTTCGTTTTTGCCAATAGTTGGAACAGATGGAGGAATGTTAGATATAATACCTTTTCTATTTTTTCTAAATTGAATTCTGTAGTATTTTTCAAAAGACAAGGAAAAAATTTATATTTAAACTCAAAGTGGCTACAAATCAGCTCCTAAACTGTCACTGGCATTAGCATATAGATTTTGTAGTTTTTACAAATCTTTTACAATATTTATTTACTAAGAAAACATTGCATTAATGCATGTTACAAAATTGATAAGTTTTCCTTCAAAGTGAAATGCAGTTTAAAGTGATGGAATTTTCCAATTTTAGCTACTGCATTTGACAAGGATACATACTGGAAAATGGAACTGGTATCATCTAATTTCTTTAGACTCTTTCACTTATGGTAGTTGGGAAAAATCTTTTCATGTCAGATTATGTAGATCATATTCTTGATGACTAATATTAATTACTGTGCTCTTTAGCCTTGACAGCAATGAAGAATTCTGGGTGGATATAGTTCATTAAAATAATTTAAGTGTATTTTAAATACATGTTTTCAATTAAAAAAACAGATCTTTGGCACTTGGCTTTTAATTATCTAAACATTGACATTCTTACATTGTACTCTTTATCATTGATATGAATGTTGCAATTCCATTAACTGCACATCACAATTTTAGCATATACTTTAAAACAGTGGCATAGTTGGCCGTAGATACAAATTAATTTTAGATTGAAATGTATCTTTGTCTGTCATGTTACCTATTTTTATTTTTGTGTGTGCATATGATGACAAACCTTTTCATACTGAGAATATGATAAAATGATATCTAAAATGTTAGTCATGAAACTTTCAACCTTAGCAATTAATGTGCCTCTGAGGTTATGCTGTTAAGGGCTAAAGTAGTAGTATTTTCAGTGAGCTATTCTGCCAGTTGCCACATGTGCTGAAAAGATCTATGTAAATCTTTTTTTGCTAGACATAGTAGATAAATGGTTTTATAAAAAAATCTTTTTATAGGAATTAATTCTGATGCTCTCCAGAGATTTTTATGCTTACCTATTTTTTTGTTAGACTTCAGCCAATAAAATTTACCGTTGTTTTTATATTGCAAAATTCCCTGACTAGTCACAATCAACCAGGCCCTTTAAAAAGAAGGAAAATAGACAGCTGTAACCAATTGTTGAGCATGTAATCAAGTACTTTGTAAGAGAAATCCATCCATTAATCTGTTCTTCCTTTGCTTTTTATTCTGTCATAAAGGATGGGTTTATTTTAGATCTTATGGTTTTGAACTACCACTTCCAGCTTCTGGAGACAAAATGATTAACTTGCTTATCTCCTACAACCCAGCATGTTCCAAATCAAACCTTTTTCATCTTGTTTCTCCTAGATTTTACAACCAATTATAGTGACAATACCAGTTCCATTTTGCCTCCAATTCAGTTGATTATATATTTTTTCTATTTATTTCTCATTTTATAATTGATATCTGGAATAATCAGCAGCTCTTTTCTCATTTATTTTCTCATATTTTTATTCCAGGATTTGCCTCTGAAGCAGGGAGTGTCTGCATTAAAAATGACCTGTAGTTCTCTGCTTCATAGGTTAGAAACTTATTTTAATATTTTGTGGCTAAGCACAGTCCCACTTTTCAAATTCTATAATGAATTATTTAATTGGCATTGAATGTGGACCACAAGAATATATTTCATATTGGGGTTTTCTTTATTACTTTAAATGATTAAAATTCAATAGAATGTCCGGCTGAGGCAATAAAAGCTTTATTTTTGCTTTACAGCTTAAAACATTAAATTAGATTTTAAAATCTATTGATTGTAACACAAGTTAAATAATGCTATTTGGGCATTTTTAAAAATTGCATTTCTTAGGCCTTATATTGCTTGAAGCATTTATATTCTAAAACGTAACCAAATTCCGACTGTTCATTTTGGGGAAAAACAATCAGTTTGCAAATCACATTTTCAATGGGACTGCTAGCCAGCATAGGTGAAAACATGTATAGTGTATTTACTCTTGAATTGTACACTGCAGATGCTTCTTCAGCTCCCTCCTCTTCCTCCATGGGCGGTGCTTGCAGCTCCTTTACCACCTCTTCCAGCCCTACCATTTATTCTACCTCAGTCACCGACAGCAAGGCTATGCAAGTGGAGAGCTGCTCCTCAGCCTTGGGGGTAAGTAACAGAGGGGTAAGTGAAAAGCAGTTAACCAGTAACACAGTTCAGCAGCATCCATCAACACCGAAGAGGCACACAGTCTTGTACATCTCACCACCACCTGAGGACTTGCTGGATAACAGTCGGATGTCCTGCCAGGATGAGGGGTGTGGATTGGAATCTGAGCAGAGCTGCAGTATGTGGATGGAGGATTCCCCCTCCAACTTCAGTAACATGAGCACCAGTTCCTACAATGATAACACTGAGGTACCTCGTAAATCACGAAAACGAAATCCAAAGCAGAGGCCGGGGGTCAAACGACGAGATTGTGAAGAATCTAATATGGATATATTTGATGCCGACAGTGCCAAAGCACCTCACTATGTGCTTTCTCAGCTTACCACGGACAACAAAGGCAACTCAAAAGCGGGAAATGGGTTGGTATTCACATTTTTTAAAATTCTATCACCATTATGCAAAACAAAAAAAAAATTCCCAATTTTTCTTAATTGCTCCACTCAAGTTTGCATATAAAGCAACAGTGCTAATTTTATCATTGAAATACATGAACATTTTAACATAAAATTACCAACTTTTACTAGATAGAAAATAAAATAATCATCTTATTATGGGGTTAGTTAGGTAATAGAAAATGAAAATAATCTGTTTTGCAATAACTTAAATTTCAAATGAATTTATATTTTAAAAGGACTTAAAAATATTTTTACTCATAAAATAACTAGCAATGTAATGACTCTAGCCAAAATAACTCAGATGGTCACTAAGAGCTGTGTTCTCTTTCACGTTGTGTCCTCATATAGTTTACATCTTTTTAGAGGATTTTAGACTTAGTTTTTTTCTCTTTGATGACAAGAGAAAGCTAAATTGATAGCTTGATTCTCATCATTTAGATTCATGTAAGCTTTCTTCCTTTGATACTAATGCATTGGATTCAAGATTTTTTTTTTAATCACTAATTTTTTTTTTCTGTGATTCTGGGTTATTTACTTAGAGGGTGATGAAACAGGATCATGGTACATGTTTGAGTTTTCTTTCATCTCTGCCAGTTCATACTACCTACTAATATGGTTCAATAGCTATGTTACAGAAAATTCACTGCTGTAATGCAGACTAATGTGACTTATTTTTAATTCCTTTAGTAATTTTATTGTAATATTTAATTGCTAGACTTTTAAATTCAATTTGTCTATAGTACACTCAAAATTATTTGTTAAAATTTAACTAACTAGGACCCAGGATCTCCTACAATATCAATTTTACACAAAAGTGGTCAAGATGCTTTAGATTGGTTTACTACTTGATGACATCACTGATCTTTTTTTGGTTAAAAATCCAGTTTAATATTATAGAGAATATTTTTAATGTATATTAAACTTGCCATTTAGCGTTCCCTCAGTACATTTTTTAAAGTAATATCTACACTTTAAGCAATATTTATTCTATACTGCTTCTTTATCGCCTTTGGGGTGATGTAGTTAAATGAAAATTATATTTAAATGCTTTTTAGTTTTAGAAAGTCCAGATTAGTAAATTACCTAAAAGAAAATAAGATAAACTCTTTCCTAAAATGTTGCTGGTTAATAGAGTCAAGAATTTCAGAACATAATATTTGTAAAAATATTATTTATAAAATAAGACTCAAACATAATGAATACTGCACGTAAATAAGTAACTGTGATAGTAGCACAGATCTAAAAGGTTCATGAATATCATTTAATTACATATGTATGCTTATTTGGGCTTTAATAGAGAAAGTCTTTAAAGTTCCAGAAGATAGATTTTCATTTTTATATCAAAATCAATGAAGATTCAAATTAAGAGAAAATACAATTTTTACTTATGGCTAGTAAACACAGTGATTTGCAGTTGCTAATTAAAGAAATATCTTGACCTTCATCTTTTCTGCTTCTACTTTTGTATGATAGCTGTATCTTAGAAATGATTTGAGGTTACCCAGGGAAAGTATAATGACACTGGTCAAGACAAACTTCCATGAAATAATTCATGGAGCAGAAACTCCATCAAGCAGAAGAAATGTCCAGCTTCTTAGGTAATGAAAAAAATATTTGAAACTAGTATATGGAAATGATGGAAGAAGTTTAAAATTGGAATTTATAAGAACTATGTTGAGGAAAGGATGAAACCATACCTAAATATAGAAAAATAGGCCTTAAAAATAACTTTTCAGAGCATCTCAAGCTAAAAGCCTGTGTTCTTCAACAATAAAAAAAAATCTTAAAATGTTTTGAGAGATAAGAATATAGCCTTAGAGCTAACGTGCTGTGAAATTACAATTTATATCATATTGAGTATTTAGAAAATGTACTTTCAAATATATTGTATACAACAGTTTATTGATCTTCAAAATACCACATAGAAATTTGATAGCTTGTGGATGAAAATAGCATTTTTAAATGACTAAAATGTTAGAGTTTATTAAGAAAATAAAACCTTTTTTTAAAAGAAAGCTTAGTATTTTGAATATTCCTAGCCATATCATTCTTGAATGTCTCAACTAAATGTCTTAAGAATCACTTGCCCCATGTCTCTTCTAGATATTACTGCAAGTTAAGATACGATGTCATCTGGATGTGAAACCTACTTGAGGCTTTTTGTAGTGAAAATTATTTTTTTGACATAGGCCACCAGAAGAATTATGCAGCACAAATAAATTAGAATGTCATTTAAGACTTCTGAATAGAATATGCCATGATGGTGGATTTTCCTTTTTACTTGTCATTTAGAAGTAAAATCCCATGTAACTGACTGCTACTTTATTTTTTCTTAAGCCATCATTCCTTAAAAATTAGTAACTACTACTTTTCTAAGTATTAGTTCGTGTTTTCATAGTTTTACATGTCTGTACATCTCAATATGTATGTATTCCATTTTACATTTAAATTTAGAGAATAAAGATAGTTTTAAGGACTTCTAAAGTAGCATTTTAGAAATTGCTTAATTACATATGATATTCGTCTTTAAGCCATGTGTATACTCACCCAAATGAGATAATTTGTTTTACTAAATAAGTAAAACTCATTTTCATTTATTTGCCCTTATAAATATTAGCTTGACTAGCATAAGTGAGTATAAAAACATGTCTTGCCAAGTTAATCAATATGCTGTACGAATTTTTCCTATATTTCAAACTAAAATTTTCCCTTTTCTATTATGAAATTTATAGATATATATTATAAATATTTGAAAAATGCAAGAAAACACATCATCTAGTCACTCAATAAACCTGCTGTTATCATTTTGCAATATTTTCTTTGTTCCCTTTGTATGTATATTTGGGGAATATTTCTACATAGTTTCAATACATGAATATTTTTACTTTGATTTTAAGGTTGGTATAAAACAGAATATAGACTTTCGTGTGTAAGGAATTGCACACTAGTTAGACAAAATGTTTGAATCTGTAGCCAGAATGATGAGAAGAACAACAGGGTTTATTGCCCATTGTTCCAGCTTCAACACGATAGTTATATTCGTAGAATTTATTTTTCCAGGCCCTTTTTAAATGACTTGCACAGGTAATCTTTGACTGACTATGTCAAACTTACATGAATGGTATTTTTTGTCCACTTAAGTCCTTTCTCATCTTAGGTCTCAGGTCTTTCTCATCTTACTATTACAGAAACTCCTTTTTTCCCCTGCTTTCCTTTCTTTGTCCCTTTTTTCTTCTTCTTTGCCTCATTAACAAACATTTCTTCGGCACCTGTTATGTTTCAGGAACTGTGCAAAGTTCAGGGAATATGAAGAGGGTTAAGCACAGTACTTGGCTTTAGAACTTTTCCTCTTAACTATCAGTCTTACTGAATACCTGTGCTAGTTTTTCATTCCTTCTTTCCTCCATTCTACTGGCCCTTTTCCTAGCAAAAGATTCAGCCTACTCCCCATTTCCATTGAAGATACTACCTTTCCTCGCTTTGTTATTGATGATTGAGGCAGTAACTCGGTTAGAGCTGGAGGGGTAAACATGAGAGCCAGGTCTAAGGCTGCTTAGCTCTTCCATTTGAAGTCATAATATTCCTTCCGGGATCTGGTTGTTTTTAGAGGAGATTTTTGTCCACAGTCACCTGGCTCCTGGATCTTCAATGTGAGTCAAAACTTAGGACTAGGAGAGTCACAGTGAAAGCTATGGCCCTGACTTTATTTAAAAACATACATGAATAATTTTTTTGTTTGTTTGTTTTGAGACAGGGTTTCGCTCTTGTTGCCCAGGCTGGAGTGCAATGGTGTGATCTTGGCTCACTGCAACCTCCGCCTTGTGGGTACAAGTGATTCTCCTGCCTCAGCTTCCCGAGTAGCTGGGATTATAGGTGCCTGGCACCACACCCAGCTAATTTTATGTATGTTTAGTAGAGATAGGGTTTCACCATGTTGGCCAGGGTGATCTCAAACTCTTGACCTCAGGTGATCCACCTGCCTTGGATTCCCAAAGTGCTGAAATTACAGACGTGAGCCACCACGCCATTGCTCAGAAGGAAAGATAACTAGCAATATTATTTTCTATTTATGTTTATTATGTATTTGCAGTGCTTTAACTATTTTACAGATTAAATGTGTTTGCCTGAAGTCATAGCCACCATTTGGGATACTGTTTTTCTTTGAACATATACTCTACATAGCAAATGCATTATAAATAAATGTTAGAAATATAACTTAAAAAAATAAGGACCAGGCACAGTGGCTCACGCTTGTAATGCAGCTCTTTGGGAGGCTGAGGCAGGCAGATCAGCTGAAGTCAGGAGTTCGAGACCAGCCTGGACAAAATGGCGAAACCCCCATCTCTAACAAAAACACAAAAATTAGCTGGGCATGGTGGCGTGCACCTGTAATGCCAGGTACTTGGGAGGCTGAGGAGGAGAATCACTTGAACCCAGCAGGTAGAGGTTACTGTGAGCTGAGATTGTACCACTGCACTTCAGCCTGGGTGACAGAGCGAAACTCCATCTCAAAAAAAGTAAAAGATACAATACTGGTATTATAAAACCCAGATTGTAAAATTTTTATTGAGGGCTTTAATTACCTAACTAATCATAAATAAAAATAATCTGAAAAATCACACTTCTAGAAAAGATTGTATAGAATAAAGCTAATTTCCCAATAAAAATTGAATCACTAATCTTTTATTATAATTTCTTCACTTTGATTTACTGAGAAGGATACCCAAAAGAATATGCTACATATACCTTCATGTGGTTTGTAGGCCATTTTGTATGGGGGTATGTAGGGGTTTTTTTGTTTTTTAGTTTTTGCTACCCTCTTTTTTTTTTCTTTTCTTTTCTTTTTTTTTTTTTTTTTTTTTGCTTTGCAATTAAAAAATAACAGTAGGTAATCTTATAGCTTTATATAGAATTTGGAATTTATATATGGAATGCATACATGGAATTTTTAAATCTTATTTTGACTGAAGTGCAATGTGAAAGGTCATAGTGACATTAACTATTCTTTGCTGTTATTCTCAGTTTATTGCACTCAATCTTTCTCCCTTCCTCCTATCACTCATATACATTCGTTTTCTGTCAAACTTACTTTCTCTTATTTTTGTATCATATAATGAACTTTTAATAAAACTTTGAAGATACTTTGTTTATGTATCTTTCTTTAGGCAATATTTTATTTTGCCAGTATCTAAGTAGTTGTTTTTACTATTATTGCCAGTTCTGTTTCTTCCTTTGTCTTAAATGACTTTTATTTTTTATCAAAAAACTCTTTTTGATACTTTCCCCATGTTGTGCTCTGATTTCTCAGAACATTGGAAAACCAAAAAGGAACTGGAGTAAAGAAGAGCCCTATGTTGTGTGGACAATATCCTGTTAAAAGTGAGGGAAAGGAGCTGAAGATAGTTGTGCAACCTGAGACACAGCACCGAGCTCGGTACCTTACTGAGGGCAGCCGCGGCTCAGTAAAAGACAGAACACAGCAAGGCTTTCCTACAGTAAAGGTATTTACTTTATTTGTCATCTGAATTTTAGTTAAAATGTAAAGGGAAATGAGAATATGTCCTGAAAAGTAAAGTATTTTCTTTTTTTTTTTTTTTTTTTTTTTTGAGACAGAGTTTCGCTGTTGTTACCCAGGCTGGAGTGCAATGGTGCGATCTCGGCTCACCGCAACCTCCGCCTCCTGGGTTCAGGCAATTCTCCTGCCTCAGCCTCCTGAGTAGCTGGGATTACAGGCATGTGCCACCATGCCCAGCTAATTTTTTGTATTTTTAGTAGAGACGGGGTTTCACTATGTTGACCAGGATGGTCTCGATCTCTCGACCTCGTGATTCACCCGCCTCGGCCTCCCAAAGTGCTGGGATTACAGGCTTGAGCCACCGCGCCCAGCCAAAGTAAAGTATTTTCAATCACGAGTTTTCTTCCTTCATATTTGATATTTGAATTAGATTCATCCCAAACTTTATATTTAGAAAGATTTTTTTTTTTTTTTAGATGGAATCTCACCCTGTTGCCCAGGCTGGGGTGCAGTGGTGTGATCTCAGCTCTCTGCAACCTCTGCCCCCCAGGTGCAAGCGATTGTGCCTCAGCTACCAGAGTTTCTGGGAGTGTGCCACCAGGCCCAGCTAATTTTTATATTTTTAGTAGAGGCAGGATTTCACCATGTTGGCCACACTGGTCTCAAACTCCTGATCTCAAGTGATTCACTTGACTTGGAGGAAGAAATATTAAGGTGAATTCAAAGAAATATAGTAGAAATTATTAAGAACTTGAAAATAAGGGTTTTGAGATGATTATAGTAATCAGGACTATTGGACTGAGGAAAGAATTGGTTTTAAGTCTTCAGTTTAAGAAATAGAATATCAAAAAAAAAAAAGAAATAGAATATCATTTGTATATACTGAAGTAAAGGGGAAAAGAAGAAAATGAGAAAAAAAAATGGGATATCAGTTGAGCCTTAATTTTTTTAAAGGTTGAGACTAAAAGTTAAAAGAGACTTTAGTGTTAGCACCTAGGATATCTTGTTATAAAGAATATTTGTCTTTGAAGACAAGCCTCAGAAAAATGGGGGAATAGGGAGAGGACTTAACAAGTGTTCCTACCCTTTGCAAAATACTAAATAGGGAGGAATTTTGGCTAATCACATGGTAGATTCTTATTAAATACAGTTTGTATAAATATATTAGTTGAACAGTATTTTAAGTTTGGAGCAGAATTGGACTGCCTTTCATTTTATACTTGAATGAAATTATGATTGAAACTCTGAATCCGAAAACGTGTCTGCCACCATTTATAAAGTTGGTTAATAGTCACATATACAATATCATGTCTACCTCTTTTCCTAGCTGCTACCTTAACTCACACCCAATCCTTCAAACCCAGGACAGGTAATAGGCAAGTGAGAAACTTATGTTATGCTTTGTGTAAATATTTGTCTAGCCAGATTTTTTTTTTTTTTTTTTTTTTTTTTGAGACAGAGTTTCACTCTCGTTACCCAGGCTGTAGTGCAATGGCTCGATCTCGGTTCACCACAACCTCTGCCCCCTGGGTTCAGGCAATTCTCCTGCCTCAACCTTCTGAGTAGCTGAGATTACAGGCACGCGCCACCATGCCCAGCTAATGTTTTGTATTTTTAGTAGAGACGGGGTTTCACCATGTTGACCAGGATGGTCTCAATCTCTTGACCTTGTGATCCACCTGCCTCGGCCTCCCAAAGTGCTGGGATTACAGGCTTGAGCCACCGCGCCCGGCCCTAGCCAGATATTTTGGTAGTTTGGTCATTATGTTTAACTGAATTGCCCTGACTTTTAAGTTATGTTTTGTCTAGTTCAAAGTATTGTTAGATTAATTGCTTTACTATGATAGGGAATGAATTGACCTTAAAAGTTTATTTATAGCTGGGCATGGTGGTGCATGCCTGTAATCCCAGCTACTTGGGAGCCTGAGGCAGGAGAATCACTTGAACCCGGGAGGCGGAGTGTTTGGTGAGCTGAGATCACACCATTGCACTCCAGCCTGGGCAACAAAAACAAAACTCCATTTCAAAAAAAGAAAAAAAAAGTTTGTTTAGTCATTCATTCAACAAATACTGCACTCCTAGACAAGAAAAAAAATCTCCTAGTTGGCTGCTACTATGATTAAAAAAAAAAACAACAAAACAAATACTGCACTCCTCTGTGTGCCAGACACTGTTCATCTAGGTTCTGCTGACCAGCAATTTGACTAGTTTGCTTATTATCCTCATTATACCATTTTACAGAGATACAACTGTACTGGAATAGAAAAGATGTGTCAGTTTTTTAAGCACTTGGTATGCATTGTACAATTTACTTTGTAATTTTCTGCATTCTGTGTTAGCAGTTTCAATGTTTAGCTATAAATCTTACCAAGAATCAGGATTGGAAACACTTGTTCCAAAGTGCTGTTTTAAATATTTATTTATTTTTCAGCATACAAATTATAATTTAATTTATGAAGGCTTGCTAGTGACCTGCAATCATCCATAGATCCTAGTTTGAACTAGCAGCCTCTTGGACCATAACATTTTGGCCCAGGATTAATAATGTTGTATGTATGTATCTAGTTCATGAAAATGAGCTTAATTTCCCTGTTATTTATATAGCTTAACTTGTACTTCTCTACTCAAGTAGCTTTAGTTAGAATAAAAATTTGGTATATGTACTTTCATTTCATAATGATGATGATGCCATCAACACAGGTTTGTAAGTTTTTTCATTTAGTTATGATGGTAGGTCCTGAGTAACCCAAATGCTGCCCAACGTGCTGTGTATTCATTCTCATCTGCTTGTACAAATAAATTATAAATGATAATTTATCATCTAGCAACTAAATTTATAATTTAAGTATAGTTATTACAGAATTAAAACCATGACTTCAGGAATTTAACCAACTCTTTTGTGAAAATGTTTTACCTTTATTTTTCTGGAAGATTTAAATGTTTTTAAATGTAATCCAGTTACAAGTAGAGGATTTGGTCTTAAGTATTTGATTTTATAATTAGATTATTTGTAATGCTAATTAGTGTTTCTGCTTTATGTTTTCTGATTTCAGCTGGAAGGCCACAATGAACCTGTAGTGTTGCAGGTGTTTGTGGGCAATGACTCTGGACGAGTGAAACCACATGGATTTTATCAGGCCTGCAGGGTAACTGGACGAAATACAACTCCTTGCAAAGAAGTGGACATTGAAGGCACTACTGTTATAGAAGTCGGCCTTGATCCTAGCAACAACATGACACTGGCGTAAGTACTTAGTAATAATTTTTTCATTATATATTACATTCTTGTGTTAGGCAGGAGAATTGTTCAGTTTCTAATGTACAGAAGATTTTGGGTATTTTATTAAAATGTTTTAAATAATTATGAATAAAAAAAGACATTACTTGAGACTGCTAATGGGTTAAAATTAACTGTTTTACCCTTTAGTAAATAATTCTCATGGTTGGGCCGGATGCAGTGGCTCATGCCTATAATCCCAGCACTTTGGGAGTCTGAGGTGGGTGGATCATCTGAGGTCAAAAGTTCAAGAGCAGCCTGGCCAACATGGCGAAACCTCGTCTATACTACAAATACAAACATTAGCTGGGCGTGGTGGCATGTACCTGTAATCCCAGCTACTCAGGCAGCTGAGGCAGGAGAATTGCTTTGAACCCAGGAGGTGGAGGTTACAGTGAGCTAAGATCAGGCCATTGAACTCCAGCCTGGGCAACAAGAGTGAAACTATGTCTAAAAAAAAAAAAAAAAAAAGTTGAATACACATGGTAATAAGAAGCTAAAAACATGCCCTTTAAAAACCAACTTCCTGCCAGGCACAGTGGCTCATGCTTATAATCCCACCACTTTAGGAAGCCAGGGTGGGCAGATCACTTGAGCCAGGAGTTCAAGACCGGCCTGGGCAACATAGTGAGACTTCAGCTCTACTAAAAATATAAAAATTAGCTGGGGTAATGGTGCATGCCTGTAATCCCAGCTAATTGGGAGGCTGAGACATGAGAATTACTTGCACTCAAGAGGCACAGGTTGCAGTGAGCTGAGATTGCACCACTGTACTCTAGCCTGGGTGACAGAGCAAGACTCTGACTCACAAAAATAATATAAAATGTAAATAAATAAAACCCAACTTCCCAGAAATAACTACTGTTTTTATGTTTATCTTCATAGTCTTTTTTGGACACAATTGAGAAAGTACTGTACCCATTGTCTTGTAATCTGCTTTTTATTTAATGTATCATGAGCATTTTTCACATATCATTCAACGTGATAACATACTTTTTAGTGGCTGTCTAGTATTCCATCCTTCTGGAGGCAGCTACTAATTTTAAAAGTAAAGTCCATTTTCTCTATTTTCTGAATTAGCTCTGTAAAGAAAGAGATTAAATGTTTTTTTTTTTTTTAAGGAAAAAAAAAAAAAGGTCCCTGGCTGGGTATGGTGGTGACTCATGCCTATAATCCCGGCACTTTGGGAGTTTAAGGCAGGCGGATCACTTGAGGACAGGAGTTCAAGACCATCCTGGCCAACATGATATAAGCCCATCTGTACTAAAAATACAAAATATTAGCTGAGCATGGTGGCGGGCGCCTATAATCCCAGCTATTCGGGAGGCTGAGGCAGGAGAATCCCTTGAACCCAGGAGACAGAGGTTGCAGTGAGCTGAGATCATGTCACTATATTCCAGCTGGGTGAGACTCCATCACAAAAAAAAAAAAAAAAAAAAAAAAAAAAGATGTCTTATAAGCCATTACTTATGTTCAGATTTTAAAATGGTGATTTTTGAACTTCGAACTTTGTGACTTTATTACATATTCACAGAATTAATAGATAAGCAAAATAAAAAAAAAAAACACATTTGTTTAAGAACATTATACTATTTATATAACAAAATGTCCCTTTATATATTTTTTTCTGTATTAGGGTGGACTGTGTAGGGATATTGAAACTGAGGAATGCTGATGTTGAAGCCAGAATAGGAATTGCTGGTTCCAAGAAGAAAAGCACTCGTGCCAGATTGGTTTTTCGAGTTAATATCACGAGGAAAGACGGCTCCACTTTGACACTGCAAACACCCTCTTCTCCAATTTTGTGTAGTAAGTAAGAAAATGTAGAGATATTAAATATATGGAGTTCCTTTCATTTTCTGTTAATCTTTTAGACATCTCTAAATTTTAGATAATTTCACATACTCCAGCTTGTGATCATGCAAAATTTGAAATATTTTAAAAGCAGTAGTCAGATTTTCTATACTAAACTAGTGGTGAATAATTGGGATACAATTCAAAAGGTGTGGAGCATTTTGTAGTTTCCTATTATTGTAACATACTGATATAAAAAGTAATTTGGGTCAGGCATGGTGGCTGCCACCTGTAATACCAGAACTTTTGGAGGCCAAGGTGGAAGGATCACTTCAGCCCAGGAGTTTAAGACCAGCCTGGGTAATGTAGTAAAAACCCTGTCTTTACAAAATAAAAAATATATATATTATAATAATTAGTTGGGTATGATGGCTTGTGCCTGTAGTTTCAGCTACTTGAGAAGATGAGGCAAGAGAATCACTTGAGCCCTAGGAGGTCAAGGCTACAGTGAGCCTTGACCATGCCACTACATTCCAGCCTGGGTGTCAGACTAAGACTGTCTCAAGAAAAAAAAAAAAGTATTTGAGCAGGTTTTATTTGAGCAGGTTTCAGAAGTAAATTACAAAGCCAAAGCATTTTCCAGGTATCTTCACTGTGTGGTAAATTGCTATGGTTCTAACTCTGTTTTGTGTTAGAATATGAGTAAGATAAGCAGAACTTTGCAAATAACAACATGTCAGATGTTTTGATTACTAATTATAATACTATAGTATAATGTCGGGGGTGGAAAATGAAATTCTTATCACTAACCTTGGCATGTACCGAAAATGATGTGTGCACGTTTGTGTGTGTAAATTCAATTATGTTGCTATATATGTCTCACCATAATTGTAGTTTCTCTCTAATGATTATTGTTACAAGTAATAAAGAGGAAATTTTCCTTTCCACATCTCTCTTTTTTTTTTTTTTTGGAGATGGAGTTCTGCTGTTGTTACCCAGGCCATAATGCAATGGCACAATCTCAACTCACTACAACCTTCACCTCCCAGGTTCAAGCAGTTCTCCTGCTTCAGCCTCCCAAGTAGCTGGGGTTACAGGCATGCGCCACCATGCCTGGCTAATTTTGTATTTTTACTAGAGACAGGGTTTCTCCATGTTGGCCAGGCTGGTCTCCTGTCGGGCTCCCACAGTCTCAACTCCTGACCTCAAGTGATCTGCCCACCTTGGCCTCCCAAAGTGCTGGGATTACAGGCATGAGCCACGGTGCCCGGCCTCTTTTCAAATCTCTTAAGATTTTCATTATGGATTTTTTTTTTTTAAAGCATTGCTTCTTCACAACTTATACCTGAATTCAAAAGAGCAAAAGATAGTCATTATTCCATTCAATTGGACTTCCTTTTGGGTTATTAGGGGTATTATGACTTGCCATTCCTTAGACAGTTACAGAGCCTTATTAATTTAATTGTTAAATTATTCAGCCTTTGTAAATCATATTTTTCCTTTTAATTCATATCAGAAATTTAGCTTAGCAAACACCTTAATTTTAAAAAGAAAGCACTAGAAATATCTTTCTGCTCTCAAAAGAACTGTTTGATTTCTCTATTTTTCAGTTATGAAAATTTTGTTTTTATATTAGTGTTTCCTTAGGTTATTACATTGGTAATGTTTACTTATAAAATAGACTGTTTTTAAAGTTCGTGGATTCCATGTTCATTCCATCACATTCAGATAGAGATAGAATAAATAATCTGTAGAGGGTTTATTGAATTGTAAAGCCTTTCTTATTAGGGTGCTCAATTTCTGCATTTGTTATAATTCATGATACACTTCAACTTGAATATTATTAGGATGGAGCTCCAGTTTTAGTGGGGCATATGCAGTTCTTTTACATGACCTAACACCTCGAGTATGATCATAGCCACCCTCTAAAGGCCACAGCCAGCAGATGCTTAAATAGTTCAAATCATACTGCTTTAGCAGGGACTGGGAAATGGTTGCTCACTTGATTTCATTGCTTGCTGCTTTCTTCATTTGTTTATTTTGTTCATTCATTTATTTCCTGTTTAATTAAGGTAGTGTTAAAGAATGACTATATTTCAGCTAAAAATAGTAGAAAATACAAAAGAAATTGAAAATGTGATTTTTAAAACATGTTTATCTGCAGTTATTATCATTTCTTAATTATCATCATTAATGATAATATTATGTTTACATTGCAAAGACTATACACTTCCTAGGAAGCTGGTCTGTGTTTGTGGTTTATATGAGAGCCAGTGTCTGAGATAGCTATGAAAGCTCTAAGAAGCTGCAGCATATAGTGGAAGCCATAGATAACTGATGATAAAAGCTCCCATGTTTTGAACTTCTAACTATGTGCCTGGGATTATATTAGCTACTTTGTAAGCATTATATCATTTAACTGTCACCTTAATGGATTCCATCCTATTTTGATGAAACTGAGACTTAAGAGATATTAAATAACTTCCTCAAGATCACATAGCTAATAAATTGGAAGACCAGGATTCAAACGAAGCCTCTGCTTTTAGTCACTGTGCTATATTGCCACCACAATCACTTAAATTGCAGTATTGAAACTAAGTTTAACTTCCACTTCATACTAGTTATGGTCTTTGAATATTAAACTGTGTTATAGTATGAAATTATTGTTTAGAGAACTGTTTCCTCTACCTGGGAGATTTATGTTCTGTAATTTAGAGTCTTTTATCAATTTAGAGAGTAGATTTTGATTTCTACTAGGAGATTTCACTGAATACTTATGTTGTTCCTTCCGTTTACTTTTGCAGATGCCATTTATTATGGAGGTGTTGAATGTAGTTTTACATCCCTTTAATTTGAGCTGATGTCTACTATAGATAGGAAGGATTTTATTTTGACTGATGATACCATAACAGTGGATATACTTTTAAAGTTATATTGCTTATTATTTATTTATTTATTTATTTATTTATTTTGAGACAGAGTTTCGCTCTTGTTACCCAGGCTGGAGTGCAATGGCGTGATCTTGGCTCACCGCAACCTCCACCTCCTGGGTTCAGGCAATTCTCCTGCCTCAGCCTCCTGAGTAGCTGGGATTACAGGCATGCGCCACCACTCCCAGCTAATTTTTTGCACTTTTAGTAGAGACGGGGTTTCACCATGTTGACCAGGATGGTCTCGATCTCTCGACCTCGTGATCCACCCGCCTCGGCCTCCCAAAGTGTGCTGGGATTACAGGCTTGAGCCATCGCGCCCGGCGCTTTTTTTTTTTTTTTTTTTTAAAGAAGAAATCTGTGTGCGGTGGCTCATGCCTGTAGTACCAGCACTTTGAGAGGCTGAGGCAGGAGGATCACTTGAGGCCAGGAGTTTTGAGACCAGCCTAGGCTGGTATCTCTTCCTGTTTCCTTCTGTCTCCCATCCAACCCAGTTCTTCTCACTAACCAACTTTCTTTTCACCTCTTGTTTTACTCCAACTGTTTAAACCTACCCAAAAGTTTTTATTCATGGAAACTAACACAAGCCAGAAACTTACAATGGAAGTGTATTGAACAACATAATGAGAGACAAAAATTAAAAAAAAAAAAAAAAAAAAAGCCAGGCATGGTGGTATGTGCCTATAGTCCCAGCTACTCAGGAGGCTGAGCGAGAAGGATCGCTTGAGCCCAGGAGTTTTGAGACTTCATGTGTTGTGATCACATCACTGCACTCCAGCTTATGCAAGAGACCCTGTTTCTAAAAAACAAAAAGGAAATTGTTTAATTTTTCATTTATTGTTTCTAGCCTACTTTTTTTTTAACAGTTATATTTACTGGAGGCTACGGTTTAGTTCAGGGAAACAGTATTGTGTTCTGACAAGAAAATAGTGGTTCTCAATCCTGGTTATAGGTTAGAGTCACCTGTAGTGCATTAAAACAAACAAACGAAGACGTGCCAATTGATGGTTTGTTTTTGGAAAGCTTCCTAGTTAATTCAGTGGATAGTTACAGTGTGCATAACTCTAAAAATAAAGATGATAATGCCGGGCGTGGTGGCTCAAGCCTGTAATCCCAGCACTTTGGGAGGCCGGGGCGGGTGGATCACGAGGTCAAGAAATCGAGACCATCCTGGTCAACATGGTGAAACCCCGTCTCTACTAAAAATACAAAAATTAGCTGGGCATGGTGGCACGTGCCTGTAATCCCAGCTACTCAGGAGGCTGAGGCAGGAGAATAGCCTGAACTCAGGAGGCAGAGGTTGCGGTGAGCCGAGATCGCGCCATTGCACTCCAGCCTGAGTAACGAGTGAAACTCTGTCTCAAAAAAAATAAAAAAATTAAAAAATTAAAAAAGATGATAGTTTAAGGAGCTTACAGTTTAGCAGGCTAGCAGAAAAACAGGCAAGTAGATGTCCAATTTTACTATAAAATTATATTAACTTCCATATATATGTATATGAAATTGTATATAGGCCAGGCGTGTTAGCTCACACCTGTAATTAGCGCACTTTGGGAGGCCAAGGAAGGGGGATTGCTTGAGCCCAGAAGTTTGAAATTAGCTTGGATAACAAAGCAAGACCATGTCTCTATTTTTTTTAATTGTATATAAAAATTATATAAGCTTCCATTGTATTATAAAGTTCTAGAAAGATACTATACTATATAGTAGATGAGTGAATAAAGTACAGTGGAAACATAGTAAGAGCTTCTAATTCAGACTGCTCCTAGATGATAAAACTTATGCCATCTTGTCTTAAAAGACAAATGGAAGTAAAACAAGTAAAATGGGATTTAGAAGAAGGTCATTCTGGGCAGAGATATTCATGTATATATATGTTCCCTGAAAGGGTATGATTCTTTTGGTAGAAATAAAAAGAGTTTGATGTGATTGGAACAAAAAGGTATACAAGATGAAGTGGTAAGATCTGAGGTTACAGAGGTAGGCCACACCTCTTTCATAAAGAGACTTGTGTGTTCAGCAAAATAAATTTGAATTTTATCCTGACCGCTTAGGAAGCTTGATGCTTGAACTTAGACTTTGGGG